AGAGTCAGGTAAGTGTCTGTAAAGGTTGGGCTAGGTGGGTTTCATTCATTTTAAATTCAACCTTTTACTCTGCAAGATCCCGGCTCACAGCCTCCCCTCACCCCCTTCCTATTCCTTTATTTTGCTGATAGGACACATGCACTGTGAGGACACATGGAGCTGCTGTGAGCTTGGGATTTTCAGTTCTCACAGTAAGCCATCACATTTGTATTAGAAGCATATACAGTGTTCAGTGTTATGCAGACTGGAATAAAGTTGTATGATGTTTTCATTGCAAAGGATCATGGTTGGGAAGATAACGCCTGGCATTGTTTTTCTTTTCCAAAATTATAAAGGTTTTAGAGTGTTTTGCAGGAAAATGTCCTCCATATACAGGTACAGCATTGTTTGCTAAAGAGCGTACAGTGGAGCAAAGAGTAAGATGGAAGATTAATCTATTCTTGATATATCTATTAATACACTTTTAATGATTACTGTCTTGCAGGAAAAGTTAAAAGCCGTAGCAAATGATTGGCAAAATATGCATAACTCAAAAAAACAGGTAAGAGTTATTGACATGACTTTTCTTTATTAGAAGCCATCACAGCAGCTGCCTTACAATTCTGACAACATGACATTGTTTTGGTGGAATAGCCTTTGATCATTTATATATTTTAGAACAGAAAAGCCTTCTTGATCATACAGTAGATGACACTTGATCATACAGGCAATTCAGAGACGATTGGGTGACATGCAAGTATCCCCAGATGACTGGACACTGACCAGAGGACCCTGTGAGGACCCTAATATAACCCTACCTCTTCAAAGAAAATACTCCGTTTTTTGCTAGTGTCCTTAGGTGATAGAAAGGAGAAATCCACTGAGGGAGACATGCGGTAGTTTAGCTACCTTTTGATGATGATTTTTTCACTCTACAATTTCTAACTGCGTTCAGCCACAGCGGCTACCTCACATTTTCCGTATCCCGTAATTGTGCAAACCGTACGCGGACCCTGTATAAGAGATGCGGGGCCGGGCCGAAATTTCGCTTCGGGCACTGGATCCTTCATTTGTCATCCATGTTGGAACATGGTGCAACACTACAAGCTAGCTTCAGGTTGCTATAAAGATCCAGGGCAGTGGCAGATTCGCACAGGGCAGTGGCAGATTCGCACAAGTGTGACCCAGTCCCTGAGGTTCCTCTTACCTTCCCCCTCCCCATCCCCTATGGTTACTCCTGGTAACCTGCTCTGCTGAAGCAGATGATCCTTTAAAAACAGCATGGTGGGTGCTATCTGCTCTGGGGTTTCTCAGCCCCCTCTTTATGCCCTCAACACCACCAGTGAATACCTCCCTTTCAGGGGCACTACACCCAAAAACACCAGTTTTTCCCACGTGGGCAATGCCGTGACAGCCTATTGGGCTGCAGGGGTCCACATTGGCCATCTTTAGTGTCCATATCTGGCAGATATGGACACTAAAGATGGCCAAATCTGCCACTGCATGGGTGCAGCGGCTGCTTTAGCAGCCATTTTTCTTCCTGAGTTGGAGCATGCTCAGGAGCTGTGTCTGGCGGCCATCTTTTCTGATAGTAGAACAGTAGAAAGGCATCATGGCACACTCACAAACCAGCATGTAAAACAACTTGTCTCACCACTAAGGACAATGACAGAGGTTTGGATACACGTCTTCTGCAAAGGATGTGTAAGCCGCACTGCCGCGCCAAGGCACCTCTTATAGTGCGGTCCTAACTCTAAACTATGAGAGTCTCCATCTTGGAGCACATGGGGGCAGAAGATATCAAATTGGGTGCAGGCCTGTCAGGAGGACGCCCCACCTCCTTAAAGGTACATCCCTTGTGTGTTTCTGTACCTTTAAGGAGGTGGGGCGTCCTCCTGACAGGCCTGCACCCAATTTGATATCTTCTGCCCCCATGTGCTCCAAGATGGAGACTCTCATAGTTTAGAGTTAGGACCGCACTATAAGAGGTGCCTTGGCGCGGCAGTGCGGCTTACACATCCTTTGCAGAAGACGTGTATCCAAACCTCTGTCATTGTCCTTAGTGGTGAGACAAGTTGTTTTACATGCTGGTTTGTGAGTGTGCCATGATACCTTTCTACTGTTCTACTGTTCAAAGCCCATTTCGTGTGCACCTTACTGTATAACTGGTAACAAATTGTTGAGTGCGTTTGTCGTTTGTTTTGCTTTACATCTTTGCTGATAGGACGCATGCACTGTGAGGACACGTGGAGCTACTGTGAGCTTGGGATTTTCAGTCCGGTTCCATCTGTATACAGCCAGTGTCATCTGGGTGCCAGGAATGCTGTACAGAGGGGAATCTCATTTAAAAGACAACTATGGGGTAAACTTTTAATCCCATAGTTCTCTTAGGGGTCATAAGAGGACATATACAAACCTCCTCCCATGACCCAAAGCTCAATATGAGGGCGCCGCAGCCGGGATGCCTTCCGACAATACTGTTGAGATCCACCCAGCTGGCTGATTGACAGCAGGCTCTGCCTATCTAGAGCCGACCTGTGACAGGTCAATAGAGCCGACCTGTGACAGTTTAATTGTCATACGTCGGCTCTAACTATGAGGATGAGTGAAAATCACTCATCTCATAGTTCTCCTTTAAGTCTTGCTGCTGTCTGTGAGTTCCCATGTGGGACCCCTCACTATGGCTGATAAGAGATGCAAGGGCACTGGTGGTTCAGGGGTAGTTATGTCTTCAGCTGCTGTGGGGCAGGCGCACTTGTTTGCGATGCCCCCTGGGGAGGTTATGCTAGATGGCTTGTCTTCTAGTCCTCAGCTATAGTTCCCTGCTTTCATCTAATGCATTTGTAGACCCCTCATGGGTACTGCATGCCTCAGCAGAGAGGAATTTCCAGCATCTATGTCTGCTTTTTTGTTGTTAACCCACCTCTTGGGGATTGACCGCAAATTCTCAATGGGATTAAGGTCTGGGGAGTTTCCTGGCCATGGACCCAAAAATTTGATGATGTGTTCCCAAAGCCACTTAGTTATCACTATTGCCTTATGTCAACATGCTCCATCATGCTGGAAAAGGCATTGTTTGTGAAGCCCCGCAATAAGCTATTGAAGTGCGATCTGCTATTGAAGTGCGATCTGCTATTGAAGTGCTGGCACCGATTCTTGCTCTCTTATGAGGGAGTTCACATTGTGGGCTATCTGAACGATCTGCTCTTAAAAGCCTAGTCTGCTCTGGCCCCCTGGCAGGATGTCTGCCAGACGAGTCACATGCTTGAACACTTTGGCTGGGTCAAAATTGTCCATCAATGTTCTGGAACTGAGAGTGATTTGTCTCTGCATTCCTCGCTGAACGTCACTGCTCAGGGGTCTCCCCATTCAGGAACAGTAGGACACCGCCACGCAGTGGCCTACATCAACCATCAGGGAGACAGGAGTATGCAGATCTCATCATAGCCTGGACAGAAGGGCAGTTCCGGCCTTATCCATGGTCCATATTCCAGAAGTGGACAGTTGGCAGACTGTTTATCTCAGCTGGCAGTTTCTAGATCTAAAGGAGGGGTCTATTCACCCCGACGTGTTTCAGGAGATCTGTCGCTGTGGGACGCTGGACATTGATCTCTTGCTATCTAGACTGAACAACAAGTTGGAAACATTTGTGGCTCCGTCCAGGGATCCGAAAGTATTTGCAGTGGATGCACTGGTGACTCCATGGGATCAGTTTTCTCTGATCTATGCCGAAAGTATTTGCAGTGGATGCACTGGTGACTCCATGAGATCAGTTTTCTCTGATCTATGCCTTCCCTCCATTGAAAATTCTACCTTGTCTGTTTTGCGGGATCGAGATGGAAGGAGTTCTGGTGATTCTTGTGGCCCCAAACTGGCCAAGAAGAGGTATGATACGCGGACATTCTTGCCATGTTGGCTAATTCCCCTTGGCCGCTCTTGAACAGCTCAGATCTTCCGTCTCAGGCTCCGGTGTTCCACCCTACTTCTCAGTGGCTGGCTTTGATGACTTGACTGTTGGGGCCTTGGTCCTATAGGGGGCAGGGGCTTATCGAACTCTTTTATTCCAACTTTTTTGCAGGCCAGAAGGTCCCCCTCTTGCAAAGTGTATCATCGTACCTGGAAGGTCTAATTTGCCTGGTGTGGGCAGAGAGGTTTCCATCTCTGATCTTACTTGGTGGCTAGAATTTTAACTTTCTTACAGTATGGCTTAGATTAGCAGTTGTCCCTAAATACTCTTGAGGAGCAGTTTTCAGCCTTGGCTGTACTTTTCCAAAGACCCCTGGCCTCACATTCTCTAGTTAAGGCCTTTTGTTCAGGGGGTCACTCACCTGGCTTTTCCCAGGGTTCTACCGGTGTCGCTATGGGATCCTAACATGGTTCTTTCATGTCTTCAAGAGGCTCCTTTTGAAGCTATCTGGGATAGGTTTCTCTGTCAGATGTTAGATACAAGGTGGTTTGCTTGTCTCTATTACCTCTGCGCTAGGATAAGGTGGTTTTCTGTTCAATGGACTAATTTTTGCCTAAGGTGGTGTCCCCTATCCATATCGATGAGGACATCGTTCTACCTTTCTTCAGTCCTGCTCTGAAACATCCAAATGAGGTGGCTCTTTACAGTTTGGATGTGGTTAGAGCTATCTGGGTATATCGTACCATTACAGCATATTTCTTACAGACTGATCCTCTCTTTGTCCTTTCTGAAGGACCTCGCAGGTGTCTCCCCTGCATCTCGTTCTACTATTTCTAGATGAATCAGACAGGTCATTGTACAAACTTACTCTGTCAAAGGTAGGTCTCAGCCTTTCCCTCTGAAGGCTCACTCCACTAGATCTCTAGGTGCCTCTTGGGCTTTTCAACATAAGACCACAACCTGGGCTTTTGTTCATTCTGCAAGTTTTACCAGGTGGAAGTTTTGGCCGTATGGTGCTACAGACCCCCATTTGACTTGGCTTCCCTTTTTGTCGTTTGGTCTGTTATCAGTTGTTTTGCTGTTGCCCTCCTCTCAGTGCATTGATGTGGGCTATCCCAGTCATCTCTGAATTGCCTGTGTCCTGTTTATTAAAAAAAGATATTACTTTTTGACTTGCCTGTAAAATCCAATTCTTAGAGTAGAGTACAGAACACAGTATCCATCCCTCTATAACCTCTATTGCTTGCCCCCCCCCCAAAAACCTGAGGATTTCCTGCAAGAGGCGGGGTTATATGAGGGTTGTCTCTGAATTGCTTATGTTCAATACTGTTCTCCAAGAAACTGATTTTACTGGCTGTTTACAAATCCCATTTTGCAATCACTGCTCTGTGCTGCGAAAGCTTAGATGCTCACATCGGTTGCATGTGGCCTATATTTTTTCCTGAAACTGCATGCACAAAAAGAATTCAGAGCTACAGACAACATTACATTGCGATGCAAATTACATTGTAATGCTTTCAGTTGCAGAAGTTTGTATTGGTCCTGCTAACCCAGAAACATGAGGTAAACTAAACATGTGGTGTTTATACAGAGAATGTATAAACTAAAGAATGAATTCCCAGGATTTTCAGTGACTGCAGTGAAAGTGATGGTGGGGCACTGTCCAAAAATGGTTATGGTTATGCCAAATCTGTGTGGGCAAGTTTTGGCACCTGTAGGGCCTGCTATGTTTGATCAACGAAAGTGGACATGCGTGTTCTGACCACTTCAAAAGTACTTAAAAATTCTCCTAATTTTCCTATTTAGACATTTCAACATATATAACTCCAGTATAGACACATAAGCGTAATAGCAGTGCAAAGTGCTTATATTCACCTGTCCATGCTCCTGCCAGTTCCACACTGTGTGGCCAACAGGGAGCTGTACCTACCACTGCAAATTCTCTCGCCCTGTCCCTTATTCCATTAAGAAATAAGTCTATTGTTGGTATGTTGCACAAAAGATTTAACTTTGCAACAGTGTGTCCTCACAACATGGATCTGACCAGAGTGTAGACAGGTAAGTATATCCCATATATATTGGGAATTACTAAGGAAAACAAACAAAAATGCAGTGGGTTCGGAGTAAACTAACCACTTGCTGCTCGGAGTAATTTCTTACTATTTGCACACACATGATCAAATCTGATTTATTTTTTTTTGGCTAGAAAACAGCTTTGGACCCCCAAACAATTATATATTTTCTAAAAGCAGAGCGCCTGTAGAAAAAAATTGCAACTAGCATTTTTTTTAATGTTGCACAGTATTTGCACAAATGTTTATCAAACCAGTATTTTGGGGATAAGATAAACTAAAATGAGATTTAGTGCACAGAAACAGAATATAATGCCCAATTTTTTGGTAAAATATAAAAGATGGTGTCACGTCAGGTAAATTGATACCAAAATATGTTAAGCCTTAAATTTGTGTGCACCTGTGAAACCGCACAAAACTACAATACACAAGATTTCCCATAGGTGACGCTTTAAAAGCCTTTACTACTCTTAAGTTTAGTGTTAACAGTGACTGATGGCCCCAAAATTATTGCTCTCACTCCGACGTTCACAGCAATATGTAACGTATGGCGCAATTTTTGTTTTTGCACGTAGGCGCATCCAACACGTGTTTGCGTTGTATGTGCATGCAAGTGGGGCGGGGGAATTAAAAAAAAAAATAATAATTTTTAATTTGTTTTCCTTTTACACTCAACTTTATTGCTATCACATAGGGGGGCAACATGCCCCCTATGTAATAGAAAATATAATGTGACAGGTCCTCTTTATGGAGACATCAGGGATCATTCAGACTCTTTGTGTCACCTTGGGACCCCAAAGAAGCTGATGAACCAGAGATCTGCTTCACCAGCTTCTGCTCCTGTAAGCCGTGACAACGGAAGGGATAGAATACACATAATTTCCAGTGATCGGAAGAGAGATCAGCAGCTAGAATCCCCGTGGGGATCTATCTCCGACTGAACTGGAGAGACACGCTGTGCCGGTCCGTGGCAGCATGGGGGACAGTGGAGGCCGGGGAAGCCGGCGAAGGGGACCACACAGGGCTTGTACATAAACAACAATCGTCTGCTGTATAAAACGATACCAACAACATGGCTGCAGCTGCGTTCTTGGTATAATCACTTCAAGCGGATGTATTTATGTGAACCCGCTAGAAGTGGTTAAGGAGTAAATCAACATATATTATATTTGCTCTTTATGTATGTATATGTAGAGAGCGCACTTTTGGATTACCTAAAAGACCAAAGCGGTTGATGGGCAATTCAAACTGCTCACTTGATATTTCAGTGTTGGATTGCCTGACTTTATAACTTCACTATTGCAATAAAAGTCATTTGTTTGGTTTTTTTTTTTAGTATTTTTTTTTAATTGATCATTTTTACCTCTGACAGGTGTATATGCAGTTAGCTCAAGATGACAAAGTCAGATACCTAAATGAAGTTAAAGCTTGGGAAGAACAGATGATGGAGATTGGTCGTGAAGATCTTGTTCGATATGGTAAAATAAATGATCTTCTGAAAAAAAGAAGTGCAGATAAAGGACCTGCAAAAAGGGGAAAAAATGAACGTACTACAGAAAGGAAAAAAGGTTCCAGAAAGCACAAAGAGTAAAGTCATAATGACATTTTACTGTATGTAAATCCCAACCAGGCTGTTTTACTGCTTCTGAGTGTAGGACTGCCTCTGTTTACTGCCTCTGAGGACAAAGGCAAGTGGCATACTGTCACTTTACAACACAAGCAGCAGATGATCTATACATGGGCTTTGTCCCCATGTTTTATTAAAGACATTTTCCCCTAAGAGGGGAAAAACTTTACATGTGTCCAGCCTTTTCAGATCATTCTCAGTCCAGCAAGAGAATTTGGTCTGCCAACAACTTATTCTTTCATTTCAACAATTTCTTGTGTGTTGATTAAATAATGAGTCGTATATTATTTTTTTTGCATTTATTTAGACACTAGCATTTGAAGAATTAGCAGTTTGTCTTTTGTTTTTATACTGTATGTGGAATAAATCTGTAAACCATTAAACAGTTCAAAATATGGTGATTGATTGCATTTAGATTTCCTGTAGATGTCAGTTCTCTCGATGGAAAAAGGAGGGTGATTTGCCTGTTATTGCTGACAGAGAATACCTGTCAGCAATAGCATGAATGATCCCTGCACCCGAGGGTGTTCCAGGACCTGTGTGACAGGTAGGGACACTGAATGTGCACCTCCTTGCATCCAGGTTCAACAACAAACGGGACAGGTTTGTCTCCAAGTACAGGTATTTCCTCTAGCAGAAGGAGTGGATGCTCTAGCGTAGGGGTCATTTGGGGGCTACTGGGCACATTTATTAGTCCCGTGGGGGTCGCTTGCCAAATGTCATGCTTCAAAATAAAATGTAACTATATACGGTACCAGTGCTAATGTCTGCACGTGTTACAAGCGGAAACTGTCACCCATTCAAATTAATGATCAGGTGATCAAAGCCTGCACACCACATGTAATCATATGTGAAAGGATTACAAGCGGTTAGGAATCAATCACTCTCCCTGGATGAGCCACCGTGTATTCAGGGAGAGCAATTGTTTTTGTAACTGTATGTAATCGTATCACATACGATTACATGCGGTATGCAGGCGTTTACATGCAGCGGTTGTCACCTGATCATTAACTTGATAATGTGACATTTGCTGAATGTAAACGCAAAATTAGGGATTCCTGTGCAGGCTCAAGTCTGTGACACAGGAATCCCTAATCGCACCTGAAATATAGGTGTGCATGGGGCCTAAAATATATATATATATATACACATACTAATACACTCCCCCCTCACACATAATAATACACCCCCCCCCTTGCACAAATGAAATAATACACTCCCCCAGGTCCAATCCCTCCCCTGCACACATAATACACTCCCCCTCCTGAGATGCAGACCGTGCAGCTGCTCTCGTAAGTCAGGTACACGGTCCGTGACCGTGTGCCTGACTAGTCAGCTGGCTGTGGGCCACATAGTACCGGGCCAGTACTTTGAGACCCCTGCTCTAGTGGCTCAATGTGTTCAGTACATTTTTGTCCCCTGAAGCTTCTACCTTGTCTTCTTTGCAGGATCGAGACTGAGGGTATTCCGGTGATCCTTACTGCACTGAACTGACCAAGATGGATGTGGTACGCTGACCCGACAAGACTCTTAGAGGAGGCTCTGTGGGCTCTACCAGATTGTCTGGATCTTTTCTTTAAAGGACCGATTGACTATCCTGCTTTATAATCAATCATTTTAACAGCATGGCAGTGAAACGTAGGTTTTGAAAGACGGCATCTCTGGAACTATGATGCCAGGATGCTAAAGATAAGGACGGCTACTTCCCACGAGGTCTATCGTTGGATGTGGAAGCCATACTTCACTTGGTGTGAGTTTCGACTCCTAACACGTAAAGTATTCCTTCCATAATGCAGGAGAAGGTCTGAGAGAATAGTGCCTTGTAGTTCTTTTTAATACCAAAAATAAGTGGGAAAATAAAGTGATCTTCACACCTCCTGGTTTCAAATCTTAATGACCCATAAGCTGACCTTAACTCTTAAATTTCCCCTCATTTATCCCATGCTGAGACCTCTATGCCTGGCCTGTATAAGCAGATATAATCACTGCGGACAATCCTTATCAGATAGCTGAACTCACCAAATACCTTTTCATACCTATTCCATGCATCAGGTTACAGCAGACAACAGGATACATCAGATGAATGAATAGACAGTATTTGAAGGTCGGAGATAGTAATGTTTCCAAGCATGCAATGCAGATTAACATGTGGTCATGTTACTGTCAGACATTTTGATGTACTTGGAGAAGAAGGGGAAATACATTATAGATGGGAGAGAACACAGAAAAAACATGGTGCAATAGCCCAAAAGGACCACAAGATGTCAGTATAATAACCAAGTATATAATACCAAGATAATTGCTTAGAGAAAATGAACTATGTGATTATCATTTCACATTAATACGAATATTAACCATGACTATGAATTGTGTGATATTTTTACAACTGTGTAGCAACACATATCATGTTATTTTGTGCTGTCTGTGTCCCGCTAGAAAGCAGGATTTTACTTCCCCCTCTAAAAGACACAACTGCAAATAACAGGAAGTCTCTAAAGTGAGGAGAATCCCTTTCTTAGGAAGTTGTCAAAAAAACATGTCCCTATAGAAGATGTGCTTTCTTGTTTTGGTGACAACTCTAAAATTCTGGATTTCCCATCATTTTTTGTCTCAGTAACAATGATCACCAGGAGTGGTGAATCTCCCCAACTGGGACACAGACAGCAATAAAAACCTGACAGAGGTTCTCACCACTTAGTCCAAGCTAAAAGGAAAAGTTGTGCCTTTACATACAATGTATGTATGATTTATCGCCTAAATTACACATCTAATCTCTTTATGACACTCAGATACTATCTCTCTTTATGACACTCAAGATTAAGGCTCACGTGTGCTGTTAGCTTCATACTATACCATAGCTGGTGGCAGAGTGGAAAGTTGATTTTAACAACATTATGGAAAATGTTCTAGACTGATGAAAAAGGTAAATGACTGTACAGTATATATCAGTTTCCAAAATGCCACCACAAACATGTTCAATTGAATCAGTGTAAGACTCCACTTACCACACTGTGGGCGTGGTGGTGGAATTAAAGTGTATCTAAAGGGAAAACTAAAAAAAAAAAAAAATGATGTTGGCCTTTAAATATACTTTAAGGCAGGAGATGTTGATCTTGTTATGCAGCTCAACCAGTAGATATCCCAGATACATTAATCCACAAACAGCTGAAGAGATCCTGTTGGCAGAATATCTTTCTTACTTCTGTACTTGTACAGTATCCCTGCAGGTTAAGCCTTTCCCGGGTCCCGTCCCAATCCTTAGGTTGCTAAATGTGCCTATAAGGAAGACTTTTCTTGAGGGTCTTCTGGGACATACTGTATATGACTCCATAAACAGGAATGTTTCAGGCTAGCTGCTGGGTTTTTTTGTTGCATAGTGCTTGTTATGTAACAAGGGTGGGCAGCTGCAAGCCTTTTTTTTTGTAGATATTTTTGCTTCGTTTGCCCTGCATTTCTATACCGGCAACGTTCTATCCATCTTTTATTCTGCCTAGCTCAGTTTGGGAATGTTCCCTGTGGTGGCGTCATTGTGAGGGGCATGTCCTGCACCATCATGCACGCCTACCCCCAAACCATTTTAAAAAGAAGGTGCCTTTATGGTGGCAGAATCCTTCACTTTAGTGGGGCAGTTTCTGCTGATCATTTGGGGAACCCTCCTTGCCCGTATACCAGTCCAATGCTATACCTACTGGTAGGTGTTATAGTTTGCCTTCTGTCCCTCCCAATGCTCTTTCTTCTTTCTCGGGTGCTTATTCCAGTCTGTCTCATGTGATTACTTTGTCATTCTTTGCTAGCTTCCTGTCACTATCCGCCACATATGCAAGACCCATATTTGTCTATTGGGTAAGGGACAATCTTATCAGGTTAATGAAAAAAAAAAAAAGTATCTGCTGATACTGGATTTTTTTTTATATGCCCAGCTCTGCCCGACTCAAGGAATTCCAAATTAACCTAATGGCAGTGAGAGGGATCAGTTGCTCACCAAGAACATGCAGGTTCCAAGAAGCACTATTCTTAAAGTGACATTAAAGGCAAATTTTTTTTTTTTACACTTCTTGCCTATATCTACTGCATGCTAGCAGTAGATATAGGCAAAAACAACCGGAGGGTTTAGAACCCCTTTAAGCCAGAGGACTAGATCATGAGAGACTACAAATAGCATTGCTTCTATAACAGGTTGCATGTGAATCTCTCTCCGAATTTACTGCAAACTTGCCGGGCCCGACACAAACCCAGACCTCTTCCCAGCCCTCTGTCTTCAGGTATCAGCCAAAGCATATAATCCTGGAGTCTCTAGCAGATCTTAAAACTCAACAGGATCTTCCAGACCCTACCCTAGCTCTAACTGCCTCGCGACTATAGGGAGAATTCTACATTTTGTGGCATATCTTTGACAGGAGGGTTGGTTTAGACTTAAAAAAGGCCTGTTTTTTCAGCTGTCACCAAGATGAGATGGGCAAAGATGCCCTAGGTGGAACAATCCTTAAAGCAGTTTTGAAGATGTGGATATGAGAAAGAACATATTTCCCCAATGGAATCTGTCACTTTTCCTGGACATACCAGAGTCCTTCTCTCCTACAGAAGACTGGCTCTGGACGGGACAGTCTTGAATGCCCCACATTCTGCCAAATCTGGGACCCCTCCTGATTGATGTTTTACCTGCAGCACAGCCATAACATAACCACTGGGAGGTGAAGTGAATAACACTGATTATCCTGTAACAATGGCACCTAGAAGTAGGTGGGATATATTAGGCTGGAAGTGAACATTGTGCCCCTGAAGTTAATGTGTTGGAAGCAGAAAAAACAGGCAAGTGTAAGTGTGTGACTTTGATAAGGGGCAAAGTGTGATGACTAGGCGACTGGGTCAGAGCAACTCCAAAACTGTTATAAATCTGCTCCCGGCCTGCAGTGGTCAGGAACTGCCAAAAGTGGTCCAAGGAAGGAAAACCAGTGTACTGGCGACAGGGTCAAGGGCGGCCAATGCTCATTGATGCATGTGGGAGCGAGGGCTGGCATGTGTAGTCCGATCAAATAGAAGAACTACTGTAGCTCAAATTGCTTAAAAAAGTTAATGTTTGTTCCAATAGAAAGGTGTCTGAATACACAGTACATCGCAGTCTGTGCATATGGGGCTGTGTAGCTGCAAACCAGTCAGGGTGCCCATGCTGACCTGTGTCCACTACCAAATGCACCAACAATGGGCATGTGAGCATCAGAACTAGACCACAGCGCAAAGGAACAAGGTGGCCTGGTTTCATGAATCCTGTATTCTTTAACATTATGTGGATGACCGAGTTTGTGTGTGTCACTTACCAGGGGAATAGATGGCACCAGGATGCACTATGGGAAGAAGCCAATCTGGTTCTGCTGGGAAACTTGGGTCCTGCCATTCATGTGGGTGTTACTTTGACACGTGCCACCTACCTAAACATTGTTGCTGACCAAGTACACCCCTTCATGGAAACGGTATTTCCTGAGGCAGTGGCCTCCTTCAGCAGGATAATGCGTCCTGCCACACTGCAAAAGTGGTTCAAGAATAGTTTGAGGAACACGATTTCAAGGTGTTGACTTGGCCTCAAAATTCTCCAAATCTCAATGCAATCAAGTATCTGAGGGATGTGGTGGAAAGACAAGTCTGATCCATTGAGGCCCCACCCCACAACTTACAGGACTTAAAGGATCTGCTATTGAAGGTTTGGTGCCAGATACCACAGCATACCTTCAGAAGTCTAGTGGTGTCCATGCCTCGATGGGTCAGGGCTGTTTTGGCAGCAAAAGGGGACCTTTCAATATTAGGTAGGTGGTCATAATGCTATGACTGATCGATATGTGTACAGTATATAAGCACTTCCTGAGAAAGCTTCCCCCACTCTAGCTAGCAAATGTTTTTAGCATACCTTCTTCATGTTCATAATCAGACACATCAAGGTACAATATTATTTTGTTCCTGAACATCTCTTATGATTTCTTGTAAAACGTTAAAGTGACACTAAACTCAGGAGTTAAATCTTAGAAATGCATTCAAATACCTTAACTTTTAACAAAAAATGTATCTTATTTGTGTATCACTCAGCTATGGATCCTCAAATCATCTCTGAATTCATGGTGACACTGTCCTTCCTTCTGGAGGGGGGGGGGTACTTTTGTTCCCCATGGTTCCTGTGTGAGTTGTAAAGTAGCCACCGCTCCAAGCTTAGTCCCGTGATGGACTACAATCTCACGTTTATTTTACTAATTCGTATTGAGATTGCAGTCCATCAGGGGAGTGAGCTTGGAGCATTGGCTACTTTACAACACACACAAGGACCATGGGGAACAGAAGTACCAGCGTGAATTCAGAGATGATTTTTGGATCTACAGTCGTGTGATACACAAATAAGATACACTTTTGTTAATAGTTAGGGTACTTGAATGTATTTTTAAAATGTAACTCCTGAGTTTAGTGCCAGTTTAGTGAATGTCATAAGGCTTC